TCCTCCTTCTTTCTCCTTCCATACATTAGAAAAACTCAATTTTCCCTCCTCTTTCTCTTCCATAAAATTGAAAGAACTAAATTACTCTCTTCTTTCATTCTACAAAAAGTAGAAAAGTCAAAAGTTTTCCTCCTTATTCCTCTTTCATAATCAAAAGAATCAAACTTTCCCACTTCTTTCTCTTCCCACATATCAAAACCACCAAAATTCCCACTTGTTTCTTTTATAAAAAATTCAAAGAACCAAATTTCCCTCTTCTTTCTCTTCCCAAAAACTTGAATACACCAAAATTTCCCTCTTCTTTTAAAAACATCAAATTACTAAATACATTACTTTACTTTATTTATATTTAATTGATAATTTTATTGAATAGTTAAATTAACCAAAATTTAATTTATATATTATATTCATATTGTCATGATCTCAAGTGACCTTCATGTTTCAATTTTTGTAATTTTCTTAAAATACGTAATATCAAGTGAGTTTCATATTTTTAAAATTTATTATACGAAATGAAAAAATAATTTTACTTAAGTTTAGAATGAAAAACTTTATTTTGAAAAACTATGTATTGTATATTTTTATAATTATTCAAGTGGATTAGATGAAATTCGGGTTGAGTCGGTCGGGTTACGGGTTAGTCGGGTTCGGGTCAATCGGGTTTGGGTTAATCGGGTTGCGGGTCAGTCGTGTTGCGGGTCAATCGGGTTCGGGTTAATCGGGTTGCGTGTTAGTCGGGTTGCGGGTTAGTTGGGTTGCGGGTCAATCGGGTTGCGGGTCGGCCGGGTTACGGGTTGTTGACTTTTAGTCAATTCGGCTTGCGGGTTGGGTTGATCGGGCGGGTTAATCGGGTCGGGCTATGTTTTGACACCTATAGTTACAGAGAGTTTGGGAAGAAGAGAATTTTTTTATTTTGATGGTAGGAAGAGAATGTGAGAAGTGTTGACAGAAAGTGAAGAATGAGTTATATTTATTGAGCTGGAAAAAATATAGTCGTTGGAAAAATAACCGTTGGAAAGTGGTCGTTGCAAAATATGGTCGTTGGTCGATTCTTTCCGTTAAGTACAAAGACAAACATAAACAAACAAATCTTAACAAATTAATAAAAAAAAACTCACTTTTGCCCGCCCCCACCCCTTCCCTTTCTCCCCCACCTTTTGTCTTATTCTGGTGGGTTTTCCCACCCAAAATCCCCCCTTTCTCCACTTTCTCCCTCTTTCCCGCCCACATTGTGGGCTCTTTCTCCTCTTTTCCCCCTAAACCACATCACATTGTGGTGAGTCTAAGGTAGAAGGATCGTTGAATATATTATTTATTTTTAAACTTCTTTTATGAGGCTAATGTTTCAATTTGTATGGCTTTTTTTGGATTTGAGGTAATTGTGGTTCTCCTTTATGAAATTTTTGGACTCATTATAGGTTTGAGGGTGATTAGATAGCGTCACTTCCCATAGGAGGGATGTGATTTTCGCTTCCCACTTCCCAGCCCTAGATCCCCCTTCTTATTGATCTGGCGGCCGATATTCATTAGGGGCAAAAAAGGGAGGTGTCGCATTGGATGAGCTCACTCCCCAAGCCACGTACGATGACACGCGATCTTCGGGATTGATAGGGAATGATTTTTGGGAGACTATTTGGCCACTTTCCCCGCTGAAAAACCTTTCGTCTAGCCATCCTCCCTCTTCCCTCCGTCTGCTCCCGAAACAAAAAAAAAAAAACCTTGTCGCTTCGTCGATATAGGTTGTTGTCGGTTTCCTTTCCCGTCCATCATCTCGCGTCGTTCCTCCGCTGGGCTCGAAGCGAGGTTGTCAACCCGCGGGTTGACCCGGACCCGGTGGAGCTAGTGGGTCAAGGTTAATGGGTCACCCGATTTAGCCCAGTTTAGCCCGGTTTAGCCGGGAAATATGGAAGGAGTCATTATATTGTACTTATCCTGATAAATTATATCAAATCTCATCTAACATATGAGTTATAACATATAATATTCCACCAAAATAACATGTCGTACTTAGATCCAACAAATATTGAAAATTCACACACACTTATATAACATATATATTCAAATGTTTAACTTATGATTCTAAAGATAGAGTTAGGAGAAAAGAAAAATCGGAAAATAGGCGCATTTCGCAAATCAAAGAAAAAATGACACAATTTGACCTCCAACCCGATACCTTGTAGCGGTCGACCCGGCGGCCGGCGGGTGCGTGCGGCCCTTTTTTCTCGTCGGGCCAGGGTTAAAGTGGGTCAACACGCAGGTCGACCCGTGGGTTGACAATCGTGGTTCGAAGGTTTGTTCTTTCAGAGTAGTGGTAAGTCAGCTTGATTGCCTCAAGTCCTTTGTTTTGTTTTTTTTTATGTTGGACAATTGTAATTCTGGTCCGGTGAATTATCATTGACTGGGTTTAAATGGCCATTACCGAGTGGCTGTCAATGATATAATACACAAGTCCTAACATTTCAATTGACTTGTACTTTCAGTGATTCGCCCGACTGACTACCGTCGCCGACCCTTGCTACGATGGGTGTAAGCAGAAAAGGTCAGGTTTCTTCATCCCGGAAGATTTTGACTTCCTATTTTCGGGTTTGAACCGAATCATGTAGATCTTGATTTCTTGTGTAACTTGTTTAGTTTTGTATACTTTAGTGGTACTTAGAATTGGTATCACTAGGGTAGTGGTATTTGGAATTAGTATCGTTGTGGTAGTGGTATTAGTCCCAGGTGTAGTCGTAGTGGTTCCAAAAACACTAATGGTACTTGTACTAGAACGACTACTAGTTTTTGTACCAGTAACAATAGTTGTAAATTCACAAGTACCACTAGTTGTACTGGTACCACTACCACTAGTGATACTGGTACCACTACCACTGGTGGTATCCTTAACGAGAAAGAACAACACATTTGAATATGTCTACTACCAAGTTAAAGCATACAAATATGAATAACAAATGTATTTTTGTTATTTTACTACCAGGAATGGTGAGAACAAAGATTTCATACTACAACTCGCTGGAACAACCAGCTAGAAAAGAACCCGCTAGAATCGATGACCCAAGTAATCTGATGGTGGAGGAGGTGACTGGTAAAGCTTTGTAGATGAAGTAGGGGTTACTCCATGGATATACCCAGCAGACCCAACAGTAGTTTCTTTCCATAGTTTAAAGAGTATGCCATTGGTTTATGTACGTTCTGGAGTAGGAACCAAGTTTTATAATCTGTTGGATTTTAGTAGAATTTCATTCTAAATGTGAACCATATGTGTTGGTGAAAAGGAGGGATGCCCTACAATCGAGCCCAAAGCGCTGTTGCTGCTTTTGTCAAAAACGATAAGTGGGATTTTGACCGGCTACGTACTTGCCTGAGGAAATACTATTGCAGATAGCAGGAACGCAACCATCGATTGAGGGAGCGAGCGGGGATGTGACCACTAGGGGTCGGAAGTTAACGACAAGTTTAGTGTGCGAACGGTCTACGTGTTTGCAACAGATTACGAGGAAAATGTCACTGCCACCAGGTGGAAGTCAATATAGAGTTGGCAGGGACCAGAGAGGGTGTGCCACTTCTTTTGGATTACAATGCGAGAGAGACTACCCACTAATATCGAAAGAGAATGGAGGAAGCTGAAGACTATGAACCTGTGTGGAGCTTGCAACAGTGAACCAGAAACATTCACACATATGTTGGGGGACTGTAACTTTGCCAGGTTAACCTGGATGCAACTAATCCCACCTTCTGAATACCATCGATTTTTCATAGCCAGTTTGCAGGATTGGATCGTGAATAACCTTAAGTGAGAGCACACTGGCCTTGACTTTGTCCTTACCTGCTGGTCCCTCTAGGGACCAGAAATGATCGAGTCTTCGCAGGCAAGATCATCCAGACTGAAGGATTCCTGCAACACGTTCAGGCTTGCATAACCATCGTTCGACAAGCCTTGGACAAGGACAAGCTCATTCATCGGCCTAATATGCCCATTAGAATGGAGGTGGGGATCTCTTGGATGCCGCCACCTCCCGAGTGGGTAACCTCAACACTGATGGCTCTATTTACACCAGTACAGGTCATGCCGCGGCTAGTGGCCTGTTGAGAGATCACTTAGGTAGATGTCTTATGACATTTGCTATGAACCTGGAAATTTGCTCTATCACCCGGGCGGAGTTGAGGGGCGTTGTAGAAGGCCTTCCGTTAGCTTGGGATGCTGGTTACAGACACGTTAGATTGGAATTGGACTCTGTTTGTGCTTTGCATTTGCTTCGGAGCACCGATTCTACTAAGCATCACCATGCAGCCATCTTGGATAGAGTTTTTGAGGTGCTTAAGAGACAATGAGATGTTTCTATTGCTCGTATGGAAGGTAATATGTGTGCAGACTTTCTTGCTAGTTGAGGTCACCTAGTACCTTTAGGTTTACATTTGTTTCCAATTTTGGATCCTATGTTGTGAAACTGGATTATGTATAATGTTCAGGAGAACTCTGAATCCTGAGTGGTTTTTGAATGAAAGGTAGGGTGCATGTTGCATCCATTTGATTAAAAAATTTTTTGGCTAAATTGCAAGTTTGGTCACTAGAATGACATAAAAATTTCACGTTTGCCACTAAAATTACTTTATTTCATCCGTAGTCACTTAAATTAGGTACACAGTCCAACTTTGGTCATTCTCCGTTAACCTCTATCAGACTCTATTAGTGCCGTAAGTTAACTGCTGATGTGGCTAACAGAGGTGTTAAGTCACCTAATTAAAAAAAAAAAAATAGACATGCCACATTATTAACCCTCTATGTCATAAAACTCAACCTAAACCCAATCACCCACTGACCCAACCCCTATTATTGACTAGTTACCCCTCTCCTTCCCTTCTCTTCTTCCCCAACCCCTTCTCATTCACAGACTCTACCCCCACACAACATACCCATCTGAAGCTACTTTCGCACCAAGAATAATCTTAATCACATCATTCTTCTGAATCAACCGACCATCGATTTCTTCCTCGCCCAACACATGATGCAGCTGGTCCAGAAGAATCCAGTGCTTTCTCCAGAACCTCAAGATACTTCCCCTGTTATCAAGTTGGTGCTCTTCCCCAACCCCTTCTCGACCGCCTCCAAAATCCCAGCCTCCATCCTATGTTGGGTCGCCTGCGTGAGGTTCGTGGCCAACCTAGAAACCGATGAGGTCTTTACAAAGATGAGCCTCGTTGCATCTATAGGAGAACGCACAAGAGGCATCTGATGACTAATGGGTGGAGCACGTTCGTGAACCAGATTCAATTGGTCGCCTGAGATTCAATTGGTTGCCGGATAAACTGGAGCACATGTATTGATGGATTGGGGCGATAAATTGGAGATATGGAAAAGGGATTGGTAGATAAAATAGAGAAGGCGCACTCTCTCCGCCGTCGCTGTTGGGTTTACCTCCGGTGGCGGTGCTGGAGCTGGGCGGTGGCAGCGACAATTGAGGGAGAGCGGCTCAACGAAAGGAAGGGAAGTTTCGGAAACGGGGATAAGGGGGAGTGCTGGGGACGAAGGGGAGTTGTTTGGGGCCTCCTTCCGGGAGGGAGAAAGTGGGTTGGTTGGCGGCTATAAGGTCGATTTCGTCGCCGTACTGCTGCTGGGGTTTGATGGTGGGGTGGAGTGGAGTGGTTGAGGTCGAGCGACAGAGAAGGGGTTGGGGAAGAAGAGAGGGGGAACATGTCAATAACAGGGGTCGGGTCAGGGGTTGATTGGGTTTGGGTTTAGTTGTATGACATGAAGGGGTTAATGACGTGGCATGTTTTTTTTTGTTTGTTTTTTTGTTAAAATGGGTGACTCAGCACTTTTGTTAGCCAAGTCAGCAGTTAACTGACGACACTAACGGAGTCTGACGGAGGTTAACGGAGAGTGACCAAAGTTGGACTGTATATCTAATTTAAGTGACTACGAATGGAATAAAGTAATTTTAGTGACAAACGTGAAATTTTTATGTAATTCTAATGACCAAACTTGCAATTTAGCCAAAAAAAATTAATCGGAGAGAAGTAATTACTTATAGGGGTCGTTTGCTTCATGGATTTAAAAACGAGGGTTTTGTAATTTAAAAACCCAAAGATTTATCAAGGATTTGAGCCATCATGGATTTGTAACAATCCTTTGTTTCTTGAGATGTTTTTATCATGGATTTAAAGGTGTGGGATTTCTAACTTGAAGTCTAAAATTACATTACTATCCTTTTCTATATATGTTTGACATGTTTATGATATGTAGACAAATTAAAGACAAAACTTCAAAATTACCTTACTATCATTTTCTATATGTTTGACATGTTTATGATATGTACACAAAACAAAGACAATACATACTAATAAGCATAATGTTGCCACATGGACAATAATAATAAACGAGAAAATTCTGTTTTAAACGTAACATAATCAATTACCAATTCTTTGTCCTCCTTTTCAAAAGTAACATATAACAACATATATATTAGAATCGGGAGAACAAAGAATTACACGTTCAATGAAAAGGTCAAAGAAAACTAGAACACAAGAAATGATATAAAAAATCTAACTCATGTTTGCACATTAATTGAATATTTATATTCCCTAAAAAAAATTGAATGTTTATATTATTCATTCATTGTTAATTACTTGATTAATTATAATGTATAATAGTTAAATTTAAGGGCAATCTTGGAATATTAAAAATGCATGAGGGTATATGGGTAAAATCCCATCAAGGATTTATGCCATGTTTCAAATCCCACATCAACATGTGGGATTTATAAGTTCGTGGGGTCCACGGATTTGGACTCTTAAAATCCGTGGGCCCCACGGATTTGGTCTCCAAAAAAAGTGCAAGCAAACAATGGATTTTTGATAAATCCATGATAGATTGGATTTGGTACCCAAATCCATGATCCAAATCCATGAAGCAAACGACCCCATAGTTCCTTGGGTGTTAATTTGACAGAAAAAAAGCTCTGGGGACTATGTAACAGTGAGGAAAGAAATTTAGGGGCCTATGGACATTTTGACCTCAACTCCATCATTCTCCTTTTTCGTAAAAAATGGAACTTTTTTCTCAAACATTGTACAACAAACAAATTCAAAAAAGAGTGGTCAGAATTCAAAAAACCCCAACTCACAAGCCCTCGATTCATCTCCCATCTTCTTCCTGTTCTTCCTCTGTTCTCCTGGTTGCGATTGGGGTTTTCTTTTTCCTTGTTCGTTCCTTGAAAGAAGAGGGAAGAGGAGAGCTCGGAAGTAGAGGTGAAGAGAGGAATCGAAGCTGATTCGTCACCTCTTTTTTTTCTCTCTCTCTCTCTCCGGGGTTTGCGAGTTCTGGGGAGTGATAGGAATTTGAGAGGTGGGTTTTTGGTTTCTGTTTGTGAAAACTGTCGATGATGGGTAGTAGGAGGGAAGAAGAGCGTAATGAGAAGATTATCAGAGGGCTGTTGAAGCTGCCCCCAAATCGCCGATGCATCAATTGCAATTCTTTGGTAAGTATACTCTTTTGTTTAAGTAGTTGCGCTGAGCTTATTAATTTTGTTTTGATTGCATTTGTTTTCTCTTTTCTGTACTTCAATTCGTTCTTTTGTCTGGTTCGTTTTGGATTTGCAGGGTCCGCAGTATGTTTGTACCAACTTCTGGACTTTTGTCTGCATGACTTGTAGTGGAATACAGTAGGTATTTGTTCTTAATGGGTATTATGATCTGATTTTCCTTCAGTTTGCTACTTTCTCTTGTGTTTGCTATTCCTTCTGTGATGAATTTGGATACCCTTATGCTGTGGTTTGTGAGGAGTGTTGGTTTTATGTTTTAAAGAAAATGAGTCTTGTTTCCTTAATTGAGTGATTCTCTTACTCATTAATTTTGTCGTAATTGGCTGAAGTGACATCAACCCCCTTCTTTTCAGCTCTGTTACAAAAAAATTCGCCACTAATGAAAGAACCCAAAGGAGTTTGATTTTCTTTGAATTTTTGACCAAGAATAAACTTAGGTTGTTGTTTATGACCTTTGAAATGATCGCCAACACTTGTAGTTGGTTCACTGATGTAATGATCCAAGGTGGCTCACCTCATGGTTCCAAGGTGGAGCCTGAGCTTGGCTTGCCTGGGGGTTTTTTGAGCTCATGCTAGCTTAGCTTGCGTGCCTGATTTTTATTTATTCTCACCTAATGTATTTATATTTTGTAGTGGTCTTATAACAGATGGTTAAGTCGTTATAGATCGATTTGTAAGTAAATGCTGACAATTCATCATCTTTCCTCCCATCAGATTTGCTTTTACTGCTAAAAAAGGAAACAAATTTGCTTTTTGCCTAAGGTATAGAGTTTTGAACTGTGTGTGATATATTTGCATATATCTTGATGCATTGTCTCATGCAGCCGTGAGTTTACTCATCGTGTGAAGTCTGTATCCATGTCTAAGTTTACATCCCAAGAAGTTGAGGCACTTCAAAATGGCGGAAATCAGGTAGTGGTGGTGCCTAGGTTTCTCGTATTCCAGGATATTGAAGCTATCAGTCTTATATATTTCTTTGTTTTCATTTAGCGCGCAAAGGAAATATATTTGGCGGACTGGGACCAAGAAAGGCAGAGGTTACCTGCAAGCAGGTGCAAGATCTCTTATGTTCCTTTCAGGATATTCATATTTGATCCCCTCAGAGCTTCTGTATTTATTGATTAACTCTTTCTTACTGCAGTAATATTGATCGAGTGCGTGAATTCATAAAACATGTATATGTTGATAAGAAGTATGCTGGAACAAAGACGGCTGATAAGCCTCCTCGGGACTTGCAGGTGGAAATTTCGGTCAATTTTTTTAAATCGGAAAGTGTTCATTGATCTTTACAATCATATTTCAAAGTTTTCAATGATGTTTACCATTATACTTTAAAGTGTACGTTGATGTTTACTATCATATACTTTATGTCTTGATTATTCTTCCCTGGAAGAACACTACGAACAATGAATAAGCATACCTGAATTTTGATCCTGAAGAGTTATTTATTTTTCATTACCTCTGTGATTTTCCATTACTGTTTGTCATTTCATGTCTAAATTTTTTACATGCTTTGATGGTGAGTTAAATATGGTTCTCTATCAATTATCTTGGCAGAGGATAGGAAGTTATGAAGACGAGGGCAGGCGGGCAAACTCCTATCATTCTTTTTCTCAAAGTCCTCCTTATGACTTTCAATATGAAGATAGACGCTATGGGAAACATGGTGCTGCGCTTACCCGCAGACCTGGCTCAGATAGAGGCATTAATGCTGGAAATATGTCTAATTTTGTTTTTAGTCCAATGCGCTCCAGTGGTAGAATGTCAGATGACGGGTTTGCAAATGAAGGATCTGTTTCTAGACTATCGGACTACTCAGTGTCTAGCGGCGCTGATCTAGGTAGATCTGGTATTGGATCTCCAAATTTTCAGAAGGAAAGTGGTGGTAACAGTCCCTCTACTCTGCCTACTGGAAATAGTCTAAGGGACGGTATCCCATTTCAAACAGTAAATTTATTTCCGGAGGTTGACTTGAAGAAAGACACAAACCAGATGACACAACCGCAGGTGACATGTCCTAATGTGCTTGTTACATCAGTGGTATTATGCTTTGTTTTTCTTTTTTTCATTTATAAGATCCTATGGTGTTCCTAGAAATGGGTTTCGGCTTATAGCATTTTCAGTTGTTTGCTAAACTTCTATAGTCGCTGCCCTGAGGCGCATACTAGGCCTTTTTTAGTTTTCTATCAGAATTATGTATGTCTGAGCATCCATTAGTCCTAATTGTACAGATTTCATTTAGCTTTTCTTTTCATCTTTCCTGATGGGATGGTTTCCTTCTATGTAGCACGTCATTTTCTCTCTGATCTATGATCTATCAGAGCATGACAATGTCAATGTTTTGCTTCCCCATCTATGATTGGTTAGTAATATTTTGGTGACCTGGGATAGTCTCATTCGTTTTGACAGAAATAAGATATGTTGGTTCTAACCAATTGCTGTGACAAAGCTTGTCTTTAATGTCTGCGTTCCCTAATTTAGTGTATGCCTCGCTGTATTCTGTGGGTTTGAGGCAGTGTTCTTCTTTGATTTTGAAAAAGGAGGGGGAAGGTGTGTGAGTGGCCAATTTTTTTACTCGTTGGTAATTCGTTCATAATTTCATATGAGAGTTCGACTGACGTGCAGTTTTTTCTTGAACTCAGAGAAGTATGTCCTTGGGAAGCATACCGTCGGATACCAGCACAACATCAGTTAAGTCAGAACCTCAGCAAGTTGTGGTATTTTACAAGGAGAATGTCTTTGCTCCAATTCCATCTTCTTCTGCTACTCATGACAGCTTGGGCTCCATCAAACCCCCAACTGCTTCGTTGCCGGACTATTCTCGAACTGCATCTGTTGATCTGTTCCAGTTAGACTCGTCTACTGGCTCTCCTGTTGATTTGTTTTCTGTACCTCATTTACAGTCAGCATCTAAAAGCTTGCATCAGTATCATCAAACTTCTCCAGCTGCAACATTGGACTTGTTTTCTGGGTTCATCGACAATCAACCAGTTTCTACCCTTGATGCAATCTCATCAGAACTCCCACTTCCTAAAAATGAAGGATGGGCAACTTTTGATAATATACAGCCTGCAGCATCTGCACAAGGGAATGAAAATCACCCACCTTCATTAATTACTAGTAGCGTGGATCTAGCTGCTGCAAGGTTTGACCAGGTCGCATCCCTGAGCACAAAAATGAAGCCACAAGCATTCCAAAATGTTGGTGCTGAAAAGCCTTCCTCTCTACTGGATCCTTGGCATGATGATTTGCACAATGCTGAGCTGCAAAATAATTCTACTTCTCAAGTAAGCCGTCAATCACAATCGACCATTTGTTTTCTCTGCTGATTACATCAGCCTAGTCAGTGGCCTTAAACTTCTTTCACAGCATTGTTGTTGCCAACTTTTTCTTCTGTGCAGACATGGAATGTCTTTGATAACTCTACCGCGTCCTTCCCTATTGAGCACATGCAGCAGTTTAGTGAAGTAAACCTACCAGCATACAATGCTTTGGTGGATCTTAATCTGCATTTAGGGCAACCGGATAAAGATGGTACAGACGGTGACACATATTTCCAACCCCATGCTCCTAACAGCTCATCTCATCCTGTGTACACTGTGATGGTCAGTAACCTCTGTCTTCAGTAGCTTCCCCCTTGCCATATGAAGGAATTCTTTTTTAACGAATTGTCTTCCTTGCTTCTTCCAGGATCAAACGATCTCGCAGATAACTCATAGCAGATCAAGCAACCCATTTGAGCTTCCATATGATACAGATTTAGTGCCAGACAATATGGTATGTCTACATATTGCCATTTGGATCTAGCAATGTTGGTGATTTCCTCTTTTTACCCTCTCAGAAGTTTGTAAAATTTTATATTCTAAGGTGTTAGATGTGTTTTTGCGTCTCAAAATTGAAGGAACTGAAACTTAATGTTTAAGGAGAAGCAGGAGTGGAATGGTTAGTATCTGGTCAGGTTCTTATAGAAGAATTGGTGGTGTTTAAGGGGTTTTTATTTAAAATAATGCACAGAAAAATTCAAATTTACCCAAGCTGTTGATTCGAAAATTGCAAGAGAAATACAAATGGTTGCAAAGTGGTGATTGATGACGGCAGCCTTGTCATATCTGGATCCTCTTTAGTGGGACCTTAGCGGAGAGAAAGTAAGAATCAGAAAGATTGGTTTGGAGTGGTCGCTTTTGCGAAATTGTTTCTGAAGAAGCTTCTACTGATACACAAACGTGGCAATTGCCTATTTGGCCCATTGTATATGAAGTTATGAACTCATCTTCTTGTAACCTGGTGGCAGTTCTTGGACATGACTTCGTTGCAATCTGCACTACCCAATGGCAATATATCACCAGCATTCCTGGTGGATCCATCCCAGTCATGGTTTCCCCAAGATCCTGTCATGAGTCACATACCTAGTGCTGCTCCCCAAGGTAAATCTTATTGGTACCCTTTGTAGTCTATACTCTATACATTACCCCGTCTTGGTGAACCAGATCTGAGATGCTTGGTGACCTTGCGACTTATGGTTGCCACCAGCAAAAATTGGTCCTTGGCTGTTTCATTTATGCCAAAGCTCGCTTTTATTCTTTGCTGAACCTATGCACAGCGTAACCTATCTGTGTATTTCCTCCAACCTCGACACATTTCTTCCTGCAGGTGCCTTGTCGTATATTCCTGGACAGACTCCAAGTCCTCAGTTGGTGTAAGTTCCCCCATCCTGATTACACTATGCTTTGCCCTCTTCCTTGTTAAAACTTGACTAAGGATTTTCATACCCTGTAGGACGGTCCCTGCTCAAGGTTCAGTCGCTTCCGTGGGAGGCAATCCTTTTGCCTAGGGCTGAGCTACTAGAATAGTTATTATGCAAATCTTGACTGTGGAAAATGGTATTTCAAGCTAGTGCATTGGAAAGAAATGCGGTGTGGCTTCACAAGGTGCAACTGACAGCACCATGCTTCAGCAGTATTTGGAATGCTTATGCAGCAGGGAAGAAGCAACAAGCTTGTCAAGCCATAGTTTAATGCCGCATTTCTGGGGTTAGACAATTCCTCCTTTGGTATATTAATATTTAGAAAGTTCTGTCCATTCTATAACTTGAAGTATTGGTTACTCTTGCTGTAATGTATCTTTCCAGTTTTTTGGGGTCTTCTTGAAAAAATTGTGTAATTGAATTTCTTGCCGATTGTGAATTAAAAAGTTCGATGGTTTTACTCTGCTGCTGGAGTATTGATCTTTGAGTAATTGAACGTACGTTTCGTTTAACCATGTTGCTAAAGTATATGGATGATAATTTGAAGTACCTCGGTTGAGTCGTTTCTAAAACGAATCGTTTGGTTAAAATGTCTTGTTTTAAAGACTCTTTGTGTCGTTTGAAAGTTGTGATTGTTTTTGTGAAATGTTACTATATTCGTATTCTTTAGAATACGTCGTTTATATTTCGTAAATGCATAGCTAAAATTTTCACGTTTGTGACAATAATAGCCAATTTTGGAAAAATACAACTTATGACTAGATTTCATAGTTGTTGTATGACAAATTTAGCCATTTCCGTCAGATACTTTAGCGATGTTAGTAACACCGTCAACTTTGACGGTTCGCCTGTTGCTCTATTAGTGAGTTCGTCCTGTTCCACTTTGAGCCACACCTATGCTCCTCAACATTTCCGCAGTTGAAAGCTAATCGAAGTTGAGGGTAGCATTGCGAGATGGTCGCGTCATAAGCATTCAGCAATCAATGGCTCGAAAGGAGCCTGGGTAATCGTATATTCGTATTGGGACTGGATAAGAAACGGTGGAGCAGAGGTTTGATCGAGAGAAGGGTTTGTGGCTTTAACGGAAGGGTGGGTCAGGCGGAGAGAAAGAAGGAAACGGGTGGCGGTGGGAATGGAATGGAAGGAAAAGGTTTGTGGGTTTTATTACATTTATTTTTCATTTTTATTTTTTATTAAACTATGTGGCAGTGTTGTTGATACGATATCAGAAAAATTTTACAATGTTATATAGTATTGGTGTTATATGGTTTTGCTTTTATGGTACAACTTAAAATTGTACATTTATGTTATGGTACAACTTAAAATTATACATATACTTTTTGTACAAATTCTTTTATGATACAACTTGAACTTGTACAGTTGTACCTTTATGTGATTGTACAACTTCAAGTTGTAAAGTTGTACCATAACATAATGGTACAAATTGCTTTATGGTACAACCTAAACTTATACATTTAATGTTATGGTACAACTTTAAGTTGTACATTAAAGCACCAATACTATATAGCATAGTAAAGTGCTCCCAATATCATCAAGTCATCATTTTTGTTTGTCCAATAAGTTTTCTAGTCCGTCCAGTCAGTTTGTTAAATGACACCGTTAAAGTATTGGACGGAAGTGATTATAAGTGGTATTTCTCCAAAATTAGTTATTATTGTCATAAACACGAAAAATTTCGGTATACAGATGTATTTTTTATTTTTAATTTTTAGCAGACACAATATATGAATTTTTTATGTCTGATACGACTAAAATTATCATGCAAAATAATTTATTGTTTCTAGAATTGCTGAGATAGTTGAATTGAGATTATTTTATCTTTACTTTTAACTGATGTGATATTCACAATCATACATATTGAAAATTGTATTTTATCTCTACTTTTAACTGATGTAATATACGCAATACACAACAATACATATATTTAATAATCTTGAAACAACCCATTCATCAAAACCACTGATTTTGTACTATCTCTGTTATAAATGCGCTGCTACGGATCGGGAAATCGCAGGAATCGACAAAGCAAGAATACGAAAGCGAGAATCGAAAACACGACACACAATTTACGTGGTTCACTAACACGATGTGTGTTAGCTACGTCCACGGGCGAGAGAGAGCCAATTTCACTATATCGAGGAGATTATAGATTACAGAGGAGTATGAGAAGTATGTATAATACTTCTCCATGTGGATCTAAACCTAATCCAATCTGATAGTCCGATTCAAGTCACATAAACAATATCTTATATTAGCTCTTTTAGACATACATGTCCTCAATTTGTACGCCTTGGAACAATATTCGCGCGAAGAAACCCAACCCCCAAATCGCCCTCATGCCTCGTATGATCTCATCACCATTCGACTAAAGATGTTAGACCGTTGAATTTGTGAGAGCGGATATGGTGACTAGAAAATTAGTATTTATTTTTTACTTTTTTTATTAAATTATTTTTTATCCAACTCGTTTCTAAAATAGTTAATTCATTAATCCAAATTAATTTTTATAGTATTTTTTTTATTATGACATTATCGATAATTAGTTAATATGTATTTTTTATCAAGTCGTCCTAGTGTACCGTTGTGTATTTTTTTTCATATCTTAGAAGAAATTTGTGGACTTTTTATAGTCAGATATGAATTTAGAGTTGGAAGGACATATATGTCATCCAGAATTGGTAGGAATTGAAGGTATATTAAAAATCAAGAGAATAACGAAAAGATTATGCCTAGAAATCTAAAATAGGAAAGAACACGAAAAGATAATGCTTATTGTATAAATTATTATACTTTAGTGTATAGGCTTGTTTGAATAATAAGTGGGGGTTGTCAAGTGTTTGATAATAATGTATGTACAAAAGTTAAGAAAATCCAAACATTATAAAACCTTAAATTCTACTCTACCAATACGATCTTTGACTTTTTATGTGGAGTTAATAGCATAAATTGCCACTCTATTATTCATTTTTCTCAAATCTATCCTTCTAATATTTTTTTACATCCAACATGCCCGCATACTATATAGTATATGTATATTAAAAAATTTAAATTTACCCTCATTTTATGGCTTATCTTCTCCTTCTACAACTCCCAATAATTAATAGCCACAATCCCATCATCCATCTGTTCCGCTTTCTCTTGCTTCGACACAACAATAAATAAACGCAAAAATTTGTCTATCACGAAAGAACATTGAAGACCGACTTTTGAATTCAACCACTCTTTGATAGTCCTCAATTATTGATCGATTTGACTCAATCGTCAAAATTGGAACCCAAAATTTTTAGAATATTTGGACTTCAAAGTATCAAAGGTTGTCTACCCGGTTTAGCTCGTTGGCCCGGTTGATTAAGTATGCTGAGCGTTAATGGTCCAATCGTTTTAGTCCGCTTTTGTCCGGATTTATGAAAAAAGTCTTTATATTGTTCATATATTTATAAATTTTATAAAATCTCGTCTACATATGGATATTATTCTTCCTCGCCCGGAGTATCAATATTCGTTTCTCTATCTGCTGCTTTCTACTATCCTCCTTCGAGCTCCTAAAAAGCCCTCCAACAACATGTATTCATCACGAGATGAAGGTCGCACTCCTATGACGGCGGTGTTTGTGAGGGAAGACAATATGTGATGGAAGGCGAGTTCTGCAGTAGTTTCTTTCTCTACAAAATTGACTCAACATTTAACTTACCAATTCGCGGAGCGGGAGCCAGAACGGGAGCGTAAGAGCGTATATTCTTCGAGAATTATAATTTGAGTGCGCCGAAAGGGTGTGAATATTATATTAAATCATTTAACTTACTAACATGTTTTGGTCAAAATATTACAACAATGCAGCGGAAAAATAAAAATATTTTAGTAGAATAATAGCTTTAAATAATCTAGGTCCGAAAAAAGAACAAACTTCAAAAGTTGAATAGAAACTCACCAAAGTTTACAATAGTTTTTTTATTAAAGGTTTTAGTTTTATTTTATTTAAAAGGAAAATAGAAATGAATGTATCATTTATCCACACCCATGCACTCAATTAGTTTTTAATAAAAGAGTCTTCTTCTTCTTCTTCTTCTTCTTCGATTCTTTTCTTCCTAAACCGACGCTAGCGATCTTTTGTAGCTGTACCAAATTGGCAAATTCCTTATCATCGGCCATCTAACTAACCTCCTATCCTTTTATTTAGCCCAAGTCCGTGATTTGATGATCTATTTCTTAGTCCCCATTCACGAACTTGTGGTGCATCTTTGGAAGCAGGAAGCTTTTTTTACCGCTCATCCAAATCTTCAACAACTTTCTAGATCTCGTGCCGTATGTATCCTTTTCATCTTTGCTCTCTAGATCTCTGACTCCACCGCATGTATTCCTTTCTCCCACAAAGAAGCGGGTCATCGTCTTCGAGCCAAAGTTGTTGATTTGGCTATAACTTATTTCATTTTACTTTGTTTGTAGAGAGAAAAATCTCTCAAATAAGTGATATATGAAATGACATTTGTGAACATTGATTTTCGATGCTCTGATTTTAGTTTGAGCTACAATTTATGGGTTTTGGAAGTTGGTAGTTTTTGTAAAAGAATTGTGAAGCAAAAATATCATTCCTACTTTCGTTCTCGTTGTAGGAAATGTGAAATGAGACAACAATTTTTTCATTTTAGTATTACATATTGTGTAGATTATATATAAAGACATGTACTTTCCCTACAAATTCCTTAGCACATTAAAAAAGGTGAAATGAACCAACTTATTAAACTCGTCATGATTGTTGTATCCAATTATGTCAGAATAGGAAGAGGTTTAAAATTTGATGGTTAGCCGAACTAAGATGTTCAAAGAACCAGTCTCATATAGTTTACACAAAAATATGAATACGATTGTTTCATAGTAGGTCTGAAAATTAATACCTCACTTCTACATATTAAATACTGAAATTCGAACCAATGATATTTGGACCGCGATTTTAAAGTTATCCTCTATTTATATGATATATAGGAATTTAATTAAGTATAAAACAATAATTAAAATGAGGAATTTGGCCTCTGTTAGTCACACAAAGTTTCAACTCAAATGCATGTTCC